TTAAAGTTGATGTATTATCCTTATCTTACAATTAAGAAAACTGAGGTCACTCAGGCTAGTGGCCAGCTCCAAAGCTTGTATACATTCCACCACTCTATGTGCCTCGCTATTTGGATTCAGGGAAGTGAGACTGGGAGTGGGGTTGTCTCCCCTGGAGCAAGGAAGTTTCTGGCTGCAGAGAACTGGAGCAATCTCGGAGATAAAAAACCAGAATAATCAGCCTCAGGAGGTCCCATCTGCACACTTCTCTGGCTGGGAAAGTAGCCATTTATAGTACCCTGGACAGGACAGCAAGGTTCCTTCCAAAAATTAATTCATCTTTCCATCCAGCCATCCACCTTTTCATCCATTCATCCAACAAGTATGTATTCAGTACCCACTACGTTCCAGGCCCTGTTCAGGCCCTGTGATTAAGACCCAGTCCACAGCCATCACAGAAAAGTGAACATGGACCATTACAAAAGTGGAAGTATGAAAATCACTGAGAGACCACCCATCCAGTCTGGGACAGTGAAGGGGTGTTGGTGGGCACCAGGACCACTGTTACCTCAACTGAGTGTATAGAGGCTGGTGCTGGGGTTGGGGGAGGGGAGGAAGAATTCCTAGCTGAGAGGGCAACATGTAATCACCCTGACAGTGAAATCAGCAGGGAGTGAAGTCACCCATGCGTACACAAAAATTTACCTAAGCAATAATCAGTAAATAACTTCAAGGTCTATTAGCAATACTAGTCTATCTAGGCCTGTAGTTCAGCAGCAGTTCTAAAGGGAGATTATGCCTACAAAGGGGCAGCAAGTCTCTCTGATAGGAGCAGAAACCACATCTGCTCTTTTTTTTTTTTTTTAATTGGGGAATTGGGGAACAGTGCTGGGAAATTGGGGAAAGGGGAACAGACAAGTTGCTGTCATTTTGTTCTTCAGTCTAGTTGTGGAGGACATTACTTCACTGGCCCAAGTTGGCACCATCATTGCGCTCTTCCCGGGTGAGGCACATCAGTCGCCGGCTTCTGGACAGCCGCTCACTGCGGCTGCTGGCCGCTCACGCTGGCTGCTGGCTACACACGGTAGCCCATGGCAACCCACTGCCACAGGGGCTGCAGCCTACGCTGTTGCCAGCAACTCACGGCAGCCCAGCTCCAGGTTGAGCTGTTGTTCAGCATCTTAGCTGTAGAGGGCAGTGTCACTGGCCCTCATATGTGGGATCCGAACCGGGGCCCTCTGGTGTCCCAAGCCAGTTCTTAACCATTGCGCCACTCAGCCGGCCCCACATCTGCTCTTTTGAAATTGTCACCATTTGAATTAAAAAAGGATGAAAGTATGGCAGAAATATAGATCATGCCTCTATGAGGTAGAGACTCTTCTACAGATGAGGAAACAGGCTAATAAATTTAATCTGCCTGATTCCATGCTCTTAGCCACCATGTATGAATGCCTCCCAAAGGGATAGGAGAGGGTATCCTCTTCACTGTTCAAGGGAGAGAAATGCTGACTCAGGACACCCAAGCATTCCAACAATGGAGACGACCTTACTGTAGGGTAAGAATATTTCATCCAGTATTCCCATAAATATACCCCCAAACCAGCCTAAGGAAGGTTTAAGTCTTGCCCATAAAGTCCTTCCTCAACCGTGGTCCCTCCCTCTAACAGCCACCCTTCTTGCCTTCAGAGTCAATCTTCTGGAAAGTGTATCTACATTCCCTCCCCTTCCCTTGTCTGACATCCACTCCACCACTCCACTGAAAAGACTGACAAAGTTTCCCTTGATCTCCTAGTTGCCAAATCCAAATGATGTTCCATTTCTTATCTTACTTAACAGTTCCCCCAGACAAGCTACCTTAGAGTGTGCAGCCCCTCCTCTGGGCTCCCACATGCCCGCACTTAACCACACTGCATTAGACTGGTTTACACAACTGTGAGCTACATGAGGGCAGACTGAGTAACAGCCATCCTCGTATCCCCAGGACCTAACCCAGAGCTAGGCATATACGAGTAGATGCTGAAATTTCACTGGATGAATAAACTCTGAAATCTGACTCCACCCACACTGCCCTGAAATTTTCCTCTCCAAAATCACCAGTAGCCTTCATGTTGCTAAATCCAAGCAACTCCACTCCTTGTCAAGCTTGACCTCTTAGCAAATTAGACGCTGTTGGCTACTGACTCCTCAAATTGCTCTCTTCCATGCACATTTTCATTTCCCAACTATATCTCTAGATGCTTCTTCAGTATCTAACCCCTCATTTCAGTTCCAAAGGCCCCGCCCTCAGCGCAGGACTTCACCACACTTCTAATGGATTCATGTTTCAGCCACCTAAACCGGTCTCCCTACTTTGTCTCTCTTTCCAAAAACACTCTCCACATACCCACCAGAGGTCTTCAAGCAAATCTGATTTTACTTCCCTACTTAAAATCAATAGCCAACCCCCATTTTAAAGATAAAGTCTAACCTGTTTAGGCACCATATAAAACCATCCTCAAGCTGGCCTTGGGCTATATTTCCAGTCTCTACCTCCTCCCCTGTCTCCTACTCCACATTCCAGCTCTACCAACCACCTGTAATTCTCTGAACAGCCTGTGCCTTTTGGCATCTCCACACATTTTTACATGCAGTTTCCCCTACAAAAAAATGTCCTAGGAGACAGCTATGTATCTTCTCAAAATTCAGTTCAGACACTGTGTTCTCTGTGACATCTTCCTAAGCTCTCCCAAGAAAAGTTGTCCCGCTTGCTCCTATGGTGCCTCTATCACCACGCCTATTACACTGCATGACAATTATTTGTTAACGTGTCTGTCTCCCTCCTGGACTACTTCTTGGTTTTCTCCTGAATAGTTATGGTTAGATAGAGATATTGCTGCATAGGTTGTATCTGGAATGTCCTCAGAAGTCTCAGCACCTGACTTGTCCTGGATAATCTTTAAACAATGGTTGAAGGAAGAAACTCATGAATCATTTGTCCCTAAATTCTTACAATCTTGGTTGCCCTTCTGAACCATCTCCCAGATCTCTATGTGCCTCGGAAGTTATTAGAGATAGAACAAAGTCCTATAAGCAGCCAAGAGAGATAATAATAATCAATAATTATCAATATTACACTTGAGTCATGATTTATGGTTTTCACTGAATCTGATTTCATTCTTACAGTTGCCTGGTCACACAGCTTCAAACACAAGACTGGTGCACTTTTCTCTCTACCAGAGTTGTCTCAAATATATGCAGTAAATCCATGCATAAAACTCTGTCTTCTATTCACTGGGGAGCTCTGCAGACTAATCAAAACTGTGGCTACTTTGCATGTATTCTTACAAAGATGTACGTGTGTGTATGTGTACGTGGGTGTACAAGAGTGTGAGTACATCTCTATTCCCAAATTAGAAACAGCAAATTAAAAAAGGATGATCAATGGAGGTAGGCACAATGCCAGAATCAAGGAAAGCTGTCAGAGATGACACAGATTGAAATCATTAAAGAATAAAACATGATGAACTGAAGTCAGGCTAGCAGTTTGAGGCCACTGAGGAAGCAAACATTCGTCCCCACCCCAGTGCCCTGGGAAGGCCTCATAATCACAGAATTAAGATGTGCAATGGTAATCCTGAGTCACCAAAAGAAATGTCAACTTGGGGCCGGCCGAGTGGCGCATTGGTTAAGAGTTGGCTTAAGACGCCAGCTCTGAGCAGCAGGGCCTCAGTTCAAATCCCACATTAGGGCTAGTGACGCTGCACCTTCTACAGCTAAGATGGTGAACAACAGTTCGACCTGGAGCTGGGCTGCCATGAGTCGCCGGCAACGGTGTAGGCTGCAGTGGGGCTGCCGGCTGCTGGCAGCTGGCATGTGCTTTTTTTTTTCTTTTTTTCTTTTTTTTCTTCAAAAGGAATGTATTTTCAAATATATCATCAAACAATGCATTACTTTTTAAAGTTTAGTTTCCCCTGGCATGTGCTTTTGTGAGCCGCTGTGCGCGGCTCTCCAATGGCAGATAAGCGACTGCCTCACCCAGGAAGAGTGCAATGATAATACCAACATGGGCCAGTGAAGTGACGTCCTCCACAACAGACTGAAGAACCAAAGGACAGCAACTTGCATTGGTGGTATAGTGGTTAGCATAGCTGCCTTTCAAAGGACAGCAACTTGTCTGTTCCCCTCCCCCAATTCTCCAATAAAATCTTAAATAAATAAATTTTAAAATGTCAACTTATTAAGACAAGCAGACATATCAATAGTTTTAAAGAGATTTCAACAAAGATGGTTGAAATAAGAGAATTTTGGTGTTTAAAGGGATGCAGCCATCTTAGAAATTTTACTTAGATGGAATAATCCTTACTCTACACAAGATATGTGACTATATAACCACATTCGAGGGGACCCCAACACCAACAGATCCTGAAGTTAATTTCATCAGTCAGTCAACCTACCAGATCACCTGTAACAGCTTTAAGAATCTAGCCCACAGCAAAGCTCATGCATGTGCAAAAAGATATTCACTAGAGCATTATCTGTAAGATTGAAAAACTGGAACCAACTTAAATGGCCATCAACAAAAGACTGGTTAGTTAAATAAACAACATCCTTAAAATTAACATGGAATAACATGAAGCATTTTTTTTAAAGTAGATCTGTAAGTAGAAAAGAATGTCACTGATAAATTCTGGGGAAAAGCAAACTATAGAATTATATGTGGACTATGCTCCCATTTTTTGTAAAACGGAACAAAAAACTTCATCTATTATAGGAGCAAGAAAAAATCAGGAAGGGCACACAAACTGCTAATAATGCTTACCATGGGAAGCTGGGTGAAAGGTTAAAAAAAAAATTGTTTTACACATCGGTACTGTTAGAATTTTCACACAAAGCATACATTAATTATTATTATTTGTTTTGTTGTTGTGTTGTTTTGTTTTTAAAGAGTTTGTCAGAGACATGCATTCCTTTCCATCTCCTTCTGACTGGCTGACTGACTCACATCCCAGCCTCTGCCCCGGCACTCCACCAGCCCCACTTACAGATGCAGGCAGCAGCCAGCAGGCGGCCGGCAGCGTAGGGGGCGAAGCAGCTGGGGAAGATGGGCTGCACCATGTAGTTGGCAAAGGTGATGGCGATGATGGCCTGGCTGGTAGGCTCGATGATGAGGAGGGAGGTCCAGAGTCGAATGAAGGCAAGGAATCCCCCAAAGGCCTCGAGGATGTATGCATAGCTGGCGCCAGACTTCTTAATGGTGGTGCCCAGTTCCGCATAACAAAGGGCCCCAAAGACGGAGAAGAGGCCCCCAATAGCCCAGATGACCAGGGAGAGGCCAAAGGAGGCACTGTACATAAGCACGCCCTTGGGGGACACAAAGATGCCCGAGCCAATCATGTTCCCCACAATCAGGCACACGCCGTTCAGCAGCGAGATCTCCTTCTTCAGCTTCACCTGCTCGGGCCCTGGGTGGGCCTCCTCGTCCAAAGAGGAGGCGTCCCCCACGTGCTGGGAGGCCACTTCATACTTACTGCCCTCACCCATGGCGGAGGAGAAGAAAGGTTTCACCAGCTTCCTGGCATTGCCCTCTAATTAAGAACGATGAAGACATATATCAGGTAATTGGCAATTCCATAGAACCCACCCGCAGAGGGGCCAGTATGGGCAGCCTGCCCTCACCCACGCCCCCCTCTCTCTTGCCTCCCACCTCCCACTAACCTCTTCTTCTCATGCTGGCTCATCAAAACCACCCCAACTTGAATTTGTAAGGAAAGGCACTCATTCCCCAGATAGAAAGCATCTGTCTCTCATCATGAGGCTGGTGCCTACCTGGTTTACAAACTACAAAACTAAATTCTGGTTCTAAATCCCGAGCCTGCTGTGATGAGAGACAGGAGGAACAAGAGCGATCTGGCAGTTCCCAGGTGTAACCATAACGATTTGAGCAGGCGTTTTTTTCAGCCTTACTCCAAAAAAATTGTCTTCCCTCCAATTTCAGGCTCAACTGCGCTGAGATGTAAACTGAGGGACCAACCTTGCAAGCAAATAATCTGTGGGTTCTCCTCACAACACCGCTGTTTTTCCCCAAGGACACTAGCTCTGGCAAACCTAAAGTCTTCAGAGATCTCTTGCTGAAAACCCACAACCATCGCCCAGCTCAGGGGGCATCCCTTAACAACCCTTAGGTAAACTCTTCAACCCTAACAAAACCCCAGCAGCCCCAACCGACCCTGAAAGAAGACAAGCTATTCTCTTTTCATTGCTTTTCCTTTCCCAGGTACCTTTCCCAGTCCCTAGTATTCCAGACCTTCTACCATCAAATCCCCCTCACAGCATAGTTGCATCGCCCCTAAAAAAAAGTATGAATTGCAGAAGCGTTAGCCAAATGTACAGCCCAACCTAGAGATGATTGGAATCAGCTGATGACCACTCCCCACCCAGGAGTCGTTGCTGGAGAGACAGCACCCAAAGCCAAGGCCAGGAAACAGCTGAAGCGGAGCAGCTGATGCTGGGCACCACAGAGCAGGGACAGCTGAGAGAAAGATAGGCGAGGCTGGCCACGCAAGTGGAAAGATACTAGGGCTAGACGCACTGGGAAGAGGAAGTGATTCAATACTGCACAGCAGCAAAAGGGGTGGGGGCAAGTGAGCGGGGCTGAAGGAGAGGGCGAGAAGCACACTCACTACCTGGCCAGGGGTGTAAGCAGGTTCCTGCAGCGGCAGAGGCCAGTGGAGGTCACGGAGCTATGCTCTGACCACTTCTCCTCAGCCAGCAGTCAAAGGAATGGCCAGGCAAGTGCTTATGGATTTAAGTCAAATCAAGAAGTCAAGAAGGGCGGGGGAGAGGAGTATTAAGCAACTGTCTGGGTCCAAGGTTCATTGGCCCTTCACCTCTGCAAAAAGGGCAGCTAAGAGCTCTGGGATCAGCACTTTCTGCGATAAGGCAGACCTCCCTCAGGGATCTCCTTTGACAGAAAACAGAAGAAAGTGCCGCTCTGCAGCCCTGGGTAAATTGTCCTGGAGCAAATTAGCCAGTTTGAGGACAAGGCAGTGCTTGAGAAAGAATGCACAGCCCTCTCTCCTTGTCCTCCAGGCCCCACCCTAGGCCACTTCTCATCCCAAACAAGAAAGGCAGGAGGATTGCACAAAGACACAAAGGCTTGTCCACAAACCGAGGTTAGAGGAAGTATAAGTGCAATCCCTGCACCTCGTGATTGGCCGTCCTAAGAAAAGCATTTTGCACACTTCCCCACACAGAGTGAGGGGTGGCTGCCCTAGACCTTGGGTCATTACCTCAAGGCTGAGCCGTAAGCTACTTCCAAGGAAACAAGGTCGGGAAATGACACTCAAGCCTCTGGCTGTATCCCCACCCCCTCACATGCCCTTTCATCCTTAAGAAAACATACTAGGATCTTTGGAATAAGTATAATTCCTCTAAACACCTTCCCCAAATACAAGCTTACTCCAATTTCCTAAAAACAGGGATCGACAAACTGCAGCCCGTGAGCCACATGCGGCTCTTTGGGTACGTTCTGTCTCAAAAGTCTGCTGATCCCTGGAAGAGCCAATCCTGTCCCTCACAACAATTTAAAAATTATTTGAGAGCCATAAATATATTTTTACATAATCATCATTATGTGAATAATATCCTTAAAAACTTTTATAAATGAAACTATGATAGTTTTGTTTTCATTCTCACTTTCAACAGAGCCACATGTACGTACCCAAAGAACCGCATGTGACTCCCGAGTCCCAGTTTGCTGACCACTGGTGGTGGCTCTTCGGTCTCAAAAGTTTGCCGACCCCTGCTAAAACTATGGAGAAATAAGATTTCAATGAGCTATCTGAACAGACAGGCCCAGGACAGAAAGAAGCTGAGCATTTTTTGGAGATCATAGATTATTCTACCTTTATTATCTACTTAAATCTGGTATTTTGGATCTCTTTTACCAAAAGAAATACACTCTATCCATTGTGAAATCCAGCTATCTGTCCCTTACACCCTTTTTAAACAAACCTCTTTAGTTGTTCAGAAACAACCAGAGAATGAAGATCTAAAAATCCCGGGGGAGGGGGAGCAGCTGAGTGGCTCAGTTGGTTAAGAGTTGGCTTAAGAACACGGGCTCTGAGCAACAGGGCCGCCAGTTCGATTTCCACATGGGCCAGTGACGCTGCACCCGAGATGAGCTGTTGCTGAGCTGCCAACAGGTGGCAGGACGGCTCAGCTGGTGTAACAATAAGATTGCCTGTTCGATGGTGGGCTATGCCCACCCACAACTAAGACTGAACTTGGCACCTTGAGCTGAGCTGCTGCCTGGATGGCTCAATGGATAGACCGTGCGCTCTTAACAAGGCTGCTGGGTTTGACTCCCACATGGGATGGTGGCTACACCCACCCGCAACTAAGATTGTAACACAGCGCCTTGATCTTAGAGGCCACGAGCTGCCGACGGGAAGCCAGATGGCGACTGGCACCCTCCACAACAAAGACTGAAGAACAACAACTTGGCTGGTCCCCTTCCCCAATTCCCCAACACTGTTCCCCTCCCCCAACTCCCCAATTTTAAAAAAAATCTTTAAAAATAAATTAAATTAAATTAAATGAAAAAATAAAAAGAATAAAAATCCCAGAGGGCCTTATCTGTACCCTCCAGCCTCCCATCCTAGCCGCTTTAACTTTTTTTTTAAACCAAGAGAGGGATCCAGGTTTAACCTTCCCAGAGGTCATGCTTCTCCCAAGCCACTCTCATGAATGGCTGAAGTCTGTGGATGAAAAAAGGGGTGCTATGGAAAGTAACCTCACAGGGTGATCTGATCATAAATTCCTAACTGGGCAGGTCCTAATGGGTAGTCATGCCCCAGGTATATAACTTTTTTATTAAAAGGCTCATCTTTACCTTAAGCAATCCCTGTCCATTGTTTCTGTGCAACTAGGTTAACGCACCTTTGAAATGCCCTTTCAGACTCCTCCTTCTAAGACATGACACCCTTTTAGGTCCCTCCTTCTAAGACAAGACCCCCCCCCTCAAGAGAGCACTCAAGTTTAACCTGTAATCCAATCCCTGCCTTGCTTTTTCCTACCTCCACATAATCTTTCTTCGTCCTCTCCTTAATTTAAAATGCATAAAAGAAACTGTAAAACTGTTATTCTCTGGAGCATTTGAGATCTTGCTCCCTAGCATATATCATCAGTTTGGCTCAGATAAACTCATAAAAATTCTCTACAGGTCTGGCTGTTTCTTACATCAACAAATCCATCCAAAGGAGACTGTCCTTTTCTCCCAAGCTGCCCCCTAAATCCTTTTATAATAATAGCTGTCATTTATTGAGCACATACCTGGGCCAGACATACTGCTAAGCACATAAATGCCTTATCTCATTCAATCCTCCCTACAGCCACTAAGCCCCATGCCAGGGTGTCAAACTAGTGAGGGCAGCCGCTAGGCTAGCCACAGAGCCCAAGCTCTTAACCTGCACTACATGACCTCCCCAACCTCTCCACCCTCTCTGACTTGTCCAGCCTCTAGGCCTTCCTCAGACAAAAAAAGTACTTCAGGTGGCTCGATAATGAATTATCTCGGGGAGGGTGTGATTAGATGAAAAAGAAAGCCTTAGTCCTCCTTCAGCCCGAAGCCTAGACCGTCCAACAAAGCCCGTCCGTCTCCTTCCTGGCTGCTCCTCTCCTTTCTCATCCCTTTGCAGGTGATTACGAGTCCTCTTGGCAGCACTGCAATTGCTAGGGTGCCCGCTTCTAAAGCAAACAAGACACACGGAAATATATCATCATGCCTGCCCTTTTAAGACCAAATTCATCGGCACCAAGGGGTGGGCATGTGTCCTAACGGGATGTTAAAAAAAAAAAAAAGGAATGAAGGCGGGACAAAGGAAGGAGACAGCGTGAGAGAAAGCGGGGAGAGAAGTGTGTCGGGTTTAGTTCCTGGCTAGTGGAATCTGAAAAGTGAAGTCCTCATCCTGGAATCTTGAGACAGAAACTGTCCACACTCCAGCAAACAGCATACCCTAGCGGCCTGATCAGGAAGTGCTACGAGTAGAACCTCCTTCGGAGCCTAGCTTCACCCCACCCACACAAACTGGGCAGGGGGCTGTCCTTCACAGAAAAGATGCCCCTCTTTTCTCAACTACTGCCTAGCACCAACGCTGTGGGCATAAAGGCACCACCTTTGGCAGTTCACATTCCTCCCTGAGACCCTGGCTAACGGGGTAATGCTTCCACCAGTCAGGCAACCTAGGACAGGCAGGACTTCTCTTAAAGGGCTCTTCCACCCCAGGCTTTACAGAATAACTTTCCCATGAGATAACGGTACTCCTGACACGCAGCATCATTTCTTCTTTCCCTGTCTGAAGTGCATTCAAGACCTAGTGGGGATTACAGGAAAACAGACTCATCCTACAGCCTGTGGGAGAAGTTTCAGATTCGGGGGTTCAGGGAATGCAAGCAGCAGGGCCCCCAGCATTCGGTGCCTGGCACAGCAGCCAGTGACTCCCCTTGCACTGACCCCACCCATTAATGGCAGCACCAAAACACACTAGCTCCAGTAACCAGCACACAGTTCAGGGTCTTGGCTCAGGGAGCTAAATGTGAGCAGATACTTTCTCTCCCAGAGACCCCATGTCCTTCTGCCTTTCGAGCTCCAACCGGTCTGTGCCGCCTCTCCTAACAACAGAAATAGAAAACAGATAAACTCTAGTACAGCTAGATTGCCCCATCACCCCAGGCCGGAGGCTCAGCTCCTCCCTCACCAGTTCTCTATTTGGTTTTCTATTATATATTCCACTGTGGCTACAACAATCCCTTAAAATACAAAAATAAATAAAAAATAGTGAAACAAGGAAGAAATTGTGGCCAGGGCTTCCATTAACGTTAGGGCTGAAGTCTGAGCAGAGGGCTCTGCATAGGGAGGACCAGGGCTGGGACCTGGAAACAAGAGGCTCTTGGGTCTCCATTCAGTCAGTTTTCAGGACTCTCCCTCCTCGCTCTTCCTGCACTTCCCCTCTACCCACTGTCCCCGTCTCCCACCTCTTACCAGTCCTGAGACCTTTGGGCAGGTTCGAGGAGGAGGGGCTACCAGCTCGCTGGGGTGCGGGAGGGAAAGGTGCTAGAAAGGGGCACCCCGGATGGCTGGAGCTGTAGCAGCTGACTCTGAGGAGCAGAAAAGGCAGAGAGGTTGACGGGACCGAAATGGAAAACAGGAAAACACAAGTGTGACTATGGCTGGCAGCGGCAGCGGGGAGGGGCCAGGGGAACGGGCTGGAGTTGGGACCCAGAGGACCTCAACACCTGCCGCCTCTAGGCACCTTCTCCAGGAGTCCCGGCACCTCCTTTTCCCTACCTCTGCCCCTGAACTTTCTTGTTACCCTACATACACTGAGCACTGACGCTCTCCTAGCGACTCGCCCTACCCCCTGTTGCCCTTACAACTCCTCCTCCCCCTCATTCCACTTCCTGTGCATCTCCCGCTGGTATACTATCCTTGGTCCTGCGGAGGACACAGGATCCACGGTTAGGGCAATGGACCTCTGCGACCCCATCTCAAGAAGCTCACTGCCATTTCAGCCCGGATGTAAGGCAGTATATGCCAAGGAAGGCCACTTTTGGGGGTACAGTCAAGCGCGCCCGCGCGCGCGCGCACACACACACACACACACACACACACACACACACACACACACACTAAGGAAGCCCACTCACAGTCTCCAGTCCCCAATTGGTTCAGGTGATGTGTGTGTTGCCAAGTAAGGCCAGCCAAGGGGGCCTGAGTAAGCCCTGGCACAGGGCTAATGAGTTGGCACTCCTTCAAACCAGGATTATTTAAATATCTGCTGAATGTTTGTTTGTTTAACAAAAGTGGGGAATATGATTTTCTCGGAATAAAAACTGTTAGCCTCATTCTTTCTATTCAAATTAGAACTTATATGAATTCATTACGTACAACTTTCTGAAGCAGATGACTTCTCAGTAGGCATATTAGACCATTTAAAATATAGATATATCATAAATCTCTCTCAGGGAGTGGCAATTCACAGCATATGATGCATTCTCAGAATTCCAGCTGTGATTGCTTCCTTTAGGCAACTAAAAGCTGATGACAGAGCTACACCCTACAACTTTTAGCTGTTATCTGTGGGTTGCAAAATTATTCTGGAGACAGGTGGTCCAGGTAAGCAGTTGTTAAGGATCTCTCAGTGGATGGGAGCCAACATACAATTCACCAAGAGACAGAGACAGAAATCATATTTCACTGGCACCAACTGTCCAAATTAGAGTACTCTAAGAATGATTTAGTGCCATTTTAGACCCAGGCTGCAGCCCAGCTGGTCTACCCCTTAATCCTCCTAGGGGGTCAAGTCCAAGTTGTAAAATGAGGGAAAGTCTAAGGAAGTCTAAAGCTTCCCCTTGGTCTGGCCCCTGTTCTCTCTCCCTCCACTCCAGCCACACTGGCCTCCTTGCAGTTGCCACACAAGCATGCTCCCAACTAACAACTTTGGCAATTGCTGTTCCCTCTTCCTGGAACATTCTCCCCGGAGGTAT